CCCGGCCCCTCGGGCGCGCCCCGCCCAGCCCCCCGGAGCCCGGCCGTCCCCGGGCGCCTACCTATGGTGGAGATGAAGGTGGAGTTGAAGGCGTCCTCGGAGAAGCGGAACAGGACACAGGTCTTCCCCACCCCCGAGTCCCCGATCAGCAGCAGCTTGAACAGGTAATCGTAGGTCTTCGCCATATTACACTCTCTCCCGGACGGGAAGTGCGGCCGGCGCCGCGCCACTGGCCGGCGCATCCGTCCGTCAGACGCGAACCCACCCCCTATTGGCTGCCGGCCCGCCGACGTCACCGAAGCTGCGCCCGCCCCGACCCCGCCCTGCGCGGGGAGAACTGAGGAAGGGGCGAGCGCCGCGCAGAGCCGGAAGCAGCTCGGCCGCGCCGCCCATTGGCCGGCGTGTGGGATCAGCCGCGTTCTGATTGGCCCGCGGGAAGAGTCGGGGGGCTTCAAATGAGAACCAGGTGGGGGGCGTGGCGCTCGCGTCCCCGCCTTCGGGGCCGCGGCTCTTCGGAGGGCTCCGCCCCGCCCTCTCGTCGGGAGGGGTGCCAACAGCTCAGCGCGCCTTCGGCTCGGCGCTTGGGGGCGCGATGCGCGTGCGCACGGGCGAACGGTCCGCTCCAGCAGGCGGCGCACGCGCGTGGCGACACGGAAGCCCCGCCCTCCCCCCGGGCGCGCAGCCGCAGTGCGCGCCCCGAGGCGAGCGCGGGAACGGGCGGGCCACGCGGCGAGGACGGACGCAGCGACCGCGGGGTTCGTGTAAAAGTTTATTTTGCCCAAAAATGTAGAAAAAGTGGTGAGTGTGACACAGGGCGGGGCAGCGGGGCGGCTCAGCCTGGCCCGGCCGTAATAAATAGGAGCGGGGCGGGGCCGGCGAAGCTTCTAGAAGCGGCGGCGAGGCTGTGAACCGGCGCTGACCCCCCCACGGCCGGACGGTGTGACGTCGGCTGAGAGGTGACGAAGACCGAGGCCGGACTGCGGGTGCCCCCGGCCATCCAGAAGCTTCTATGCCAGCTCGCCCTCGGGGTGCCCCCGGCCTTTGACCTGGGCTCTGTTGGGGGGTGGGGGGCTGGAGACCCGCCCCGTCCGCTCTTTGGGCTGGGTTTTCCCGCACGGGGCGCGGAGGCTCCCCGAGGCCCGCAGGGACCGGGATCCCCGCAAGGCGCGGCGGGGCCTGGGCCGCCCTGCGGGGCCTCCCTGCGGGGCCTGGGCCGCCCTGCGGGGCCTCCCTGCGGGGCCTGGGCCGCCCTCCGCTCGGGTCTGCTCTTTGATTTGCCCCCTGCCCTGCGAGCTCACACCGCCAGCGGCGAGGAAGGTTCTAGCACGGTCCAGAGCCTTGTGGGTTGCTGGCTGCGCGTCCTATTCCACCATTTCCCAATCCAGCCTGAAGAGAACAATCAACCGACCCTGCCTAAGGAAGAAAGGTAGCGCGTATAGAAAGGGCTAGAAAGAAGCGGTGCTCCGGGAAGCGAGGGGGGCGCTGGACTGCGGTGCGTGCGCAAAGCTTGTCTGATACAAAATGCGTGGCCAGGAACTCAGCATCCGCTCCCAGTCTCACGCTGAGCCCGCTGGACTCCAGGATTCCTTAAATACAGTTGAGTTCATTGAGCGTCTGGTCCAGTGTTTGGTGCAAACCCACGTTCTCTTCTTTGGCCTGCGCTAGTTTCTCTGGGGGAGGGGGAAGAGAGAGGAACGAATGAATGAGCATCGACATCCTCAAAACAATGTCGAGGGAACCTCCAACGTCCAGACTAAAAGTCAAAATGCTTTTCTCTGTGTGTGTCAGTCCTGGGACTTGAACTCAGGACCTGGGTGCTGTCCCTAAGCTTTTTCCTTCAAGGCTGGTGGCACTTGAGCCACAGCTCCACTTCATTTTCTGGTGGTTCATTGGAGATAAGAGACTCATAGACTTTTCTGCTCAGGCTGGCTTTGAACTGCGATCCTCGGATCTCAGTCTCCTGAGTAGCTGGGATGACAGGTGTGATGAGCCACTGGTGAATATGTTGCACACATGAGGATTCTTTGCCTGTCTGAAATGCAAACTGAATCCCCTGCCCCCCCCCCCCAGCCCTGCGTGCAACAGAGACGTGAGTGGCGTCACATTCCTGGCTGTGATCTGTGTGTAACAAGGGGCGGGGGGCGCCAGGGACACAGACGGGGGACAGGATGGTCACCATAACAACGACAGCAGAAGCTATGGAGTAAGTCATAATGAAGATTTCTAGGCCCAGAGACAGTGCACGCCTGTAATCCTGGCTTCACTCCGGAGGCTGAGATCTGAGGGTGGCGGTTCAAAGCCAGCTCGGGAAAGTCTGTGAGGCTCATCTCCACTTACCACCCAACAGCTGGGCGCGGCGCTGGAGCTCACGGGGTAGAGCGGCAGCCTTGAGAGACAGAGCCGGGGGCAGCGCCTGCCGGCCGGGTGCCAGCACAGTGTTTAGTTGTCGTGGAGATGCATTTCCCCTCCACACCCCTGGCCCAGCCCGGTTCAGGGAGGTGCCTGTGTATCCATGGCAACGGATTCAAACAGAACTGAAACTGAAGCCAGGGCGGCGAGGCCCAGCAAATACACAAGATGAGGCCCGGTGGCTGCGTCTCCTAGAACTGTGCACCTCTTCATCCCACAAAGCCAGGAAATTTCACTGAGCTCAGTAGCTCCTGCCTGTCATCCCAGCGATGCAGGAGGCTGAGATCTGAGGATCGCGGTTCAAAGCCAGCCCCGGCAGGAAAGCCTGTGAGACTCTTATCTCCAGTGAACCACCAGAAAACTGGAAGTGGCGCTGTGGATCAAGTGGTAGAGTGCTCGCCTTGAGCTGAAGAGCTGAGGGTCAGCGCAAGGCCCAGAGTTCAAGCCCCACGACTGACAACATCAAACGACAGGGCCTTGGTCATGGCCGGAGTGCAGCTGTCCTGCCGGGGTGACAGGCCCAGTCCCCCGTTTTCTTAGCTGTGTTGTAAGAGTGGGATGGGGGTGAACAGGATCGGGGTTGGCTGTGGCAGTGAGGACAGGGGTCCTGACCCCAGCCCTGCGAGAAACAGACAAGAAAGAACAGGAGGCCTGAGGAGACCGCACTGTTGCTGCTGTTCGGACGCCCATTCCAGCCTCTGAGACCAAGGCCGGCTTGTATGTCCTGTAGCCTCAACCTGCAGCCCAGACTCCCCAGGGGGGGAGGCCCCCACCTATGACTCCAAAGGCAGCGAGGAGGGAAGAGAGCAGTGGGAAAGGGAGGAGAGGAATGCAGTTATCAGAGGGCTTGAGTGTGAACTGGGATGCGAGGGCTGGAGCTCTGGCAGCCTGCGGAGAGCGTGAGGCTCGGGCTGGAGTGGATGCCAAGGCCTCTACAGAGGTCATGTCACTGACCATGTGGTCCAGCTCCTCACCGATGGAATAGAGCCGGGCGGGGGGGGGGGAGACGGAAACAGCACAGAGATGGAGTGTCAGGGCGGGCGGCCCACGTGTGTGAGGGAAAGAGAAAAGGCAGAAGTGACAGAGGCAGGGCGAGGGTCACGGGGTGGCCCACAGGCACAGTCATGTCCAATGATGTCACCAGGTCAAAGGCCACAGACCAGGTCAAAGGCCGCGGTATAGATGTCCTTATAAGGAAACCTTGCCTCCACCAAAGCTGCTGGAATTTTCCACTACACCCAGAGGCCCAGGGGCAGAATTTGAGAATTGGCCGGCCCACTGGAGACCTCAAGCCAGGGAAGCCGGGCACTGGCGGCTCTTAAGACTCAGGAGACTGAGATCTGAGGATGGCGGTTCAAAACCAGCCCAGGCAGCAACGTCTGGGAGACTCATCTCTAATGCATCAGCCAAAGGCTGGAGGTGGAGCTGTGGCTCAAGAGGTTGAGCACCAGCCTGGACTTTGAAAAAAACTCAGGGCCAGCGGCCAGGTGCTCCGTTCAAGCCCTGGGACCAGCACAGACACCAAACTAAGACAGCAGATGCGGCCGAGACCTAGACAGCCACCGCCCCCCCCAGCCGAGACCTAACAGCCCCCCCCCCCCCCCGCCACCCCCTCAAGACGCACTCACCTTCCAGGTCGTCAATGGTCTTCTCCAGTTTGGCCACCGTTCGTTCTGCAAACTCTGCCCGGGTCTCGGCCTGCAGGGGAGCAGAGTCAGTGCTGCGCCCCGGGCCGGGTGCCCGTGGGGGGGCTGTGGGGGGGGCAAGCGGGGTGCTCACCTCCTTCAGTTTGTCAGACAGGAGTTTGATTTCTTCCTCATATTTATCCTCCTTTTCAGAATACTGAGAGAGAAACAAACACTTAAAAATCAAAAGAGAAGCCGGGCGCCAGTGGCTCACACCTGTAATCCTAGCTACTCAGGAGGCTGAGATCTGAGGATCTCCGTTCAAAGCCAGCCCGGGCAGGAAAGTCCCTGAGACTCTGATCTCCAATGAACCACCAGAAAACTGGAAGTGGCGCTGTAGCTCAAGTGGTAGAGCACTTGCCTGGAGCTGAAGAGCTGAGGGACAGCACCCAGGCCCAGAGTTCAAGCCCCACGACCAACCAAAAACAAAAATAAAAAAAGAGAGAGGGTGCCGTGACTCCTGCCCGTAATCCCAGCTACTCCGGAGGTGGAGGTCAGTGAGCCTGGGTGGAGAGTCAGCCAGGGCCCCCCCAGCCCCCGAGGCGAGGAAGCAGGGCTGCAGGGTGGGCTCCGCCACAGGCAGGAGGCAGTGCGTGAGTGCGCGTCTTCCCACACCCCGCCCCAGGGGCCGTGTGGGGAGCGGGGTGCAGCACCCACCTTCTCGGATGCGGCCTCCAGGGACTTGAGGTTGTTGGTGACGTTCTTGAGCTCCTCCTCCAGGTCCCCGCACTTCCTGCGCACACGGGAGAAGGGGCGCCTCACTAAGGCCGCCCGGGTACGGGGTGGGGTGGGGGGGGCCCTGAGGGGCAGGGGTCAGCCCCCATCACGGCGCACAGCGCTGGGGGACCCCCCTCCCCGGGCCTGAGGACGCCTCCTCCCGGTCGCTGGAACTCCTGGGATGCCACTCGGGGTCTCAAAACAGAGGGCAGGGCTGGGTGCTGGTGCCGCGCCCGTCCCCCCGCCCTCAGGAGGCTGAGATCTGGGGATCACGGTTCAGCGCTCCGCGGCGGGGGGCGGCCGCACCCCGTCCCCCCGAGCGCCACTCACAGCTCCGACACCTCTGCGCGCTCCTCCGCTCGCTCCAGCTCGCCCTCCAGGATGACCAGCTTGCGCGCCACCTGCGGGACGCAGGGCGGTGACGCGCG